CGAAATCCTGATCGCGTTTAGCGAAGTAAGCGTTGCGGTTCTTAAACCACAAGTGAGCACACAACGGAATCATATTTGCTTATTTAATGTTTAAAACTCTCATGGCAGCTGAAAACAATAATTGCGAAGCATTTCTCCATGTTTATAAAGTTTCCGCCGCTCAAGTCAGCGCTATTGACCTATGCAAAATGCAAGCGTACAAAGAGCTCATTCCGCTGGGATGGTCGCAGCGTAACGAACAGCGCCTCTGAATAATTCAGCTTCGAACGCGTATCAAACATTGATTGCAATCAACCGCGTGGATACCAACCATAGTTTGAACTTACCGAGCCATAACAGCACCTCTTCCTTCAGCTGATGATTGCAGTGACGTTTCCACGTTGAGCTATTTTTCTACACGACTTCCATGCACTACGACTTTATCAAATTATTACACGTGCGATTTCGAAAAAAACGGTACATTTTCCAACGCTACATTCTACATTCACGCTGTATTCTGCCTGAGTAAAGTCTAGCTGTGCTCCCCAGAAGTAAAGCTGAACAAACACAAACGGTTCAGCGCGTCACAAGTCGTCACGCCGGACCGATGTATCGTTGCACAGCCACACAAGCAGGTCTGAAACTGTTCATCAAATTGTTTGTTTGCAATCAGCGCAAAACTGGTTGCGCACACATTTACGGTCAAGTATGCTTTAAACTGAACACTGTTGAAGCCTCTTGCCACAGCAAGCCAAGTGCTGCGGCTGTGGGTGACGTTAGTGACTGAACCGGCCGCTGGTTACAGTATCCGGCCGTGTCAGCCTGTCGCCAGCGTTCATCTCCGCTTTTCCGCCGCTTTTCATGCTGCCTGATATCTCAAGTGTTTGCAGAAGAAGAGACGCTGGGGCGCTCTCGTCGTCTCCTTTCAGCGAGGAGCCACTCGACGGTGGATCCTTTCGTCGTGAGAATATTCAGGTCAATCGACTGAAAACACTTCACAACGTCAGCACAAATAGCGTTCTTCGTTTCACAATTTTCTGAGGTGCTGAAATGTTGGGCCATTTAGGCGCATGCCGCAGAGAGTCCCGGAGGCCTTCTGGGCAGCTGTCGCACCAAAGACGCGCGCCGTGGCGTCAGCGTCCATGAGTGAACAGATGCATGCAAGGATGCGGCTCAAGACAGCTGCAACACTTTGATTTTGTTTTTGCTGTGGCATAACACTGCCCACAATAACACATTGTGACGAATTGCATTAAATGGATAAGTCCTACCGCACATTCATACTTTCCGCTTACACCACACGTACTACGCCGACAACATAGCTGGTGCATGTCTTATAGGTTCTTATGACATCATATTATCATATTCAATGACATTCATGGACGCCTTTTTTGAAAAAAGTACCTCGCGACAAACTGTAGCGAAGTCAGGAAATGCCTCGACCTTGCACATTTTCAGTACGCTCTTACACGGAAGCGGTTTCTTTGTCACATTTCCCCAATAATCTGAAAAGTTAACCTGCAAACTGCTTCACCGTACGGTAGGTGGTGCTATTGTTTGCCTTTTTAAGCGATACCTTGACATACTGAGTTGGAATATATAAAATAGGTTTTACTGATCCGTTTCGTGTTGGAAATTTGTTTTTTTGTGTGCAAATGGTGCCTGCTGCTTTTTATACCGTCTTTTCGACGGGGAACGCACACAAATACAGTCACACACACACACACACACAAAAACACACACACACACACACACACACACACACACACACACACACACACACACACACACACACACACACACACACACACACACACACACACACACACACACACACACACACACACACACACACACACACGTGTGCGCATGCACGCACACGGGTCCACATTAATTAGGGATTATTGCATGACTCTAGCTGCCCACGACTTTCATGCAGTCAAAATTGGTACCTGTAGACGAAGTTGCCGTTCAGGCATTAGAAATAAGCATCAGAAACTACCCTTTCCATAAATTTACCAGTAATGCAGCGCTTCCTTACCTTGATCTTGACCGTCGGAGATGATATGGTCACTTGCATTGGTCTTGGGCCTCATTTCAAAAGCATGATTGTTTAAGAAAACAAAGTCAAAGCCTCATGACTTCTCCTAATACACCGTTGTCGGGTCCTATGAAACGATTCCCTCAGAATTAACTTTGCTGACGGCCATGGCCTGATTTTGACATGGTGGTGTTCGAAGGCTGCCTTAAAGATAACTCTCAATTCTTTCTACAACCGTAATTCCCAGAAGCTCCATTAATTTCACAATTATGCGGTACTTGTTTGACATGCTGCAATCCATCCAGGCAAACTTCTTCAAGCTCCTTTCAAGAATTTTCAATACAATTTCTGCCCACGGTCCGCAGTAGTGTTCAGAGCAACTCTGGAATCTACCGATATTCTAGCACGTACATTACAAGCAGACAGATGGCTGCCATTCTAGGACGTTGCCAATTTTCGTCTGCAGCGTCTTTTGAAGTGCGCGCAACATGCCCTCGGGTGAGGATCCATTTGAACCCATCCAAAGGCTTTTCCGAAATGATTTCCAAACGGTGCGGCGCAGCAACACCAAACTTTGCATAGCTGTAGGCAATTTATTAGCAAATGTTTTGGCATGCAAAAAATATGTGCCTTGTAAGGTAACCGACCTATTGCAGGTCAAATTCAGGCCACGGATTCAGCGAAGACAGTTTCTAAGGAATCGTTCAATATAATGCCACAATGAAAGGTGAGACGAAGCCATACATACCTGAGATAGTTCCTAAGGCAACTCAACAGTTAACTGAAAAACCTCTTTAACCTAGGGTCAGGCATAAAAACTATTAAAAGGCCGAACAAAACCCAACTTGTTTTATTGCTCTAGACCTTGCTGCATCAGGTAGTCTTTGGTGTTCATTTCGAAACCATTAATAACAGAAACCACATTATACATCTTCTATGGACTTGTCAACACGCGTCCGGGTGGCCGGCTAGATACCCTTTGCTAGAGTGTGGGGGTCGATTTGAACCCCAATGAGATCTCGGGAGCTAAGAAAGCTAGATACACCTAATTTTCAGGGTTATTAACCTGTACGCGAACTCACTTAGGTCAAAGTTTGAGCTTCCTAGGTCATGGTCTTCAGCCCATGTGAGGTCAGTGACCTTATTTGACCTTTTTAAGGTCATGGTGACCACAACCATACAAGACTGCTCTGAGTTTGGCATTTGAATAAGCGACAAAGATCACGTTAGGCAGTATGTTTTTAAAATAAACTGTCGACACGGGTCATCTTAGGTCAATGACCTTTTTGACCTCTTAGAAGTCAATGGAAGATGTCTAATGCGGTTCCTGTTGTCAATAAATTCGAATGGGCACCACAGACTATCCCATATCAAGCCCTAGAGATTTAAATCAGGCTTGTTGTGACCCTGGTCTGACCTGCATACCTGACCTTAGGTCAACGTATTTTGTTCATTCCATATTTTTGGTGCCTAAGAAACCATGTCAGAGATGTATGGCTTCGTGAAACACTCCGTTATTGTATCAGATGAGACAATTCCTTAGAAATTGCCCTCGCTGAAACCATGGCTTGACTTTGACCTGCCATAGGTCAGCGACCTTACAAGATGCATCTGACTCTTTATGTCAAACGATTTGCTATTACATTATCGACAACTATGCAAAATTTGGTGCGGCTACACCGCGTCGTTCGGAAACGATTCTGGAAAACCCTTCGGTGAGGGAGGTCAATTTGACCCTTCACCCGCGCGCGTGTTAAATGTTAGAGTAGTTCAATGACCTGAATGACCAGGGTCAACGTTTTGTTTTAGGAACATGCTGCCTAGCGTAATCTTTGACGCCTATTCAAATGCATAACTCAAAGCTGTCCTGTATGATTTTGGTCACCATGACCATCGAAATGTCAAGCAAGGTAACTGGCCTTACATGGGCACCAGTAGCTTTTACTTAGAACAGGTGTCTAGGTTTTGGGGCACTTTGAACACCATCCCGGAATTTAACCTTGTTCGGCCTTATTCAACACAACGATTATGAGCTAGAAACCTAAGACTCTGACACAAATGAGTCTACCTATAGGTCAACATACCTGTGAATTCTGTGTCTCAAAATTTCTTAGCTTCTGAGATCTCCGGGGGGAGGGGGGAGGGTTCAAATCGACTCCATCCGAGCGAAGGGCATCCAACCGGCCACCCGGGTGCGTGCTCACATAAGCGCGCATCGCTGCATCAACGAAGAGCCATTGGCTTTCAAGCAGCTTGATGAGTGAAATGTAGATTTCGAGCACGAACCGCGCTTTTGATGTATAGTGCAGGCATTTGGGCAATTCTACTACTTACGACGGAAATGAGGCCAGGAATCGCACAACTTAAGAAGAGCGCCGTAACCGAGCACGCAAATGTAAGTAAAAACAAACATGTCATCCCGAAGGAACACACTAAAAAAACACGGGAAACGGTCGAAACAAGCACACATAACGGCCGCAGGTTCAGTTTATGCGCAGAAATGAACAAGTCACCTTGTGGCGAGTTGAAATGCGATAGGTGAGCCAACCCACTTCACTACAGTAGCAGTTCTGGCGCTGCCAGTCTGGCAGTGACTTTGCCGTCATCAAAACGCTACATGATGTGATTTAACAATGACAATTGAAGTCCATATCTACAATATTGTGAAAGTTGGCTGTCAAAAACAGTCCTTTTCACTGAAAAGGATATCATAGTCACCAGTGAGCTTTTTTATTATATATCATGCTTGGCTCGATTTTTTGCTATGTGGGGCATCACATTATTTATGGCATCGCATTATCATAAACGCGAGATTTACAGATTGTAAAAGAATTACTAAGAAATCATGTAATGTCTCACATCTCAACGCGTGTCATGCAATGTGTTTCAGCAGGCATTTTCATGAAAGCGATCTTTTAGTTCCATCTCCTTATATCCTTAACACTGACCCTGCAAGCTGCTTCGTCGTATGTTCCGTGGTTCCGCGACTTGCATAGTAAGCGATGCATGTGAACATCGAGTCTAGAAATGAATGAAAACGTTTTGCTTATCCGTTCTGTGTCAGACATTTGTATTTCTTGTAAATGGATTTTACGACTTTTTGCTGTCCTCGCAAAGGGCGACATAGATATGTATATAGAACACACACATGGAACCACAGATGCAATGACGAGAAGATAGCCCATGTATGACACTGGTTGTCAGGTATGACACTGTGTATAGCTTTATCGTTGTTCTATGAGTGTACAGCCCTGCTTATGACCTGCGACGACGCTGATCTGATGCAGCGTTGGTAACATCGCGCCCGCTGCAGGGTGGACGGGTATTACCGCTGTGTGGAGCTGGCCATCGGCCGTCTGACCCGTCGTGGGGACGCCATGACCTGTCCGGGCGACGGCGCGATCTACATGTACGGCCGCCACTACGCCATCGGCGCGCGGATGGCCAACAACGAAGTCGGTCAGTGTGGTGGCAGCGGTGGGATCCCGACATCCATCCCGTGTGCTCGGCAAAGTCCCATCAGTCTCGATGATATCGCAAACGGGTGCAACCGGGGACCTGGGGTCTATTCTGCAACAGAGGTTTAGCAGTGCGCGTCACCAGTACGCTTCACGCGTAGATTAAGGGGAAACGATGCAGAAATGGAGCGTACCTGCTCGTGTTCTGCATGTGTCCTCCATGATTACTGATCGCGGCTCACCCTGCGCCAACTGACCGTCGTTCTTACGATCCGCGCCATCCCGGCTCTACTTGTCTCCGGCTTTTTATACGTCCAGAACACAGGATCGCCCCCACTAGGGGAGGTGCAAGCTCGCATCACCCGTGGAGCCGACTTAGCAATTATCCACTTTCAAAACCATTCTGGAAAACGCTATATCAGGTTAAGGCATCACGCTGCTCGGCATACTTGTATGCATGTTTGTTTTTCATTAGCAGTGATGGTTGGACACCCGTGCAGAGTAGTGCCATGGACATCGCAAAGTCACCATGCCAAGTACGAGACGCCAAGACTTGTACATAGCCAACATAGATCGCCCCTGCGTTCACTAATAGGCGAGGACGCCGCCATCGACGTGGCAGCAGTCCTTGCATTTCTAAACAACACTGACTTCACGATCATGTACTCATCTTTACGACATCTTCTAATGCCGCAAGACTCTGGTTGAAAGCTCCCTAGCGTACTTGCTTTGCACGCTGCGTGTTGCGATCGTTCATTTTGCACAGCTTGCGATTTTTGGACACGCTTTGGAACCTACAGCAACGATTTTATTTGATATGACACGCTTTGGACACCCAAAACAGCGACCTTATTTGATATCACGACATAGTTCTGCACAGTCAAAGTTTGAGCGCAAATGACAACGGCTGTCGACGCGCCCTTGAGCCCAAACAGCGACAGAACTCCAGACAGCGACTGGATAATTTTTGCGATGTGAACGGGACTATTGTGACGCCTGTGATGTTCCATAAAGGCGAGAGTTGACATATATTAGACTGATCTCGGAATGCGGCTGGGGCTAGCGTTGCTCGACTCTGTGCCGCTCCAAAACTCGGTATGGATCGCAGGCGTCGTGCACAGCAGCCTACCACTAGCGTGGGTAGCCCGTCCACGTTACAAATCACTGCTGTCAGAGACGCGACATGTGGATCTAGAGCATGCGATGACAAAATGTGACCAGAACCGGTTTTGCAATGCACACTAGGATTGTTTTAGAGACTATCAAAGTTGTGTTTGATTGATTTGTCTGACTGCATTTTAGAGGGGGCATTTTGGCTTCATTTATACAACTTGGTACGGTTGGTGTGAAGTATGTTTATTAGGGAATAAAAAGAGTCTGGTTCAACAGCAAAGGCATCCTAGTGCAAAATTACACCCATGTGAGTGTCGAAGATGAATTTAGTGACACATGATGGGGCCAGTCTGTCCCCGTGTTTAGAACCAGGCTACGCATATGCAACACAAATGCGTGGATCCTTGACACGTGTCTTACTATTCAGGTCACGCGCAGAGTAAATTAAGCTGTTACCTGTATAACAAACGCTCGGTAATAACTTCAACATGAAATATTTGTTGATCAGAATCAAGGAACAGGATGTTTCTGGCATCGTCGCCGTTCGATCTGGAATGTTTTCAACACTTATAATGTCTTGGCCTTCCAAATAATCTGAATGGGCTAGTGCATCTCAAGGTAACATTTGATACTGCTATGCATGCCTCATTTACGTTACATTTAACGCCCCTTCCGTTAGCTCTGTTGCATACTGTGGTGGCAAAATTTTGAGTATGCAGTGCATACAGGGTAAATCGCGTAACTAGAAATCGTTTGAGTCCACGCCCAAGTTCCTGTTACAAAAACGTCCAAGATCTTAAGAGTAAAGGGGGGGGGGGGGGGATTGGAGTCCTCGACATATTGAGCGTGAAAAAGCCCGGACGGAAGCAGGTTTAAACGGAGTGTCCTACTTTTGTGGGTATATTTCGCAAACTATTCTTGGAAATATCAGGACTAGTTACCCTTAACAATAGCACTGAGTAGTGCCACTGCAGCATCGTCAAGACATAATAAGCATATCAGGTTTAGTTATTTTTTGGTCCGAATCACGTTGCTTACGGTTTTTAAAATCATTGCCCAGTACTGCGTTTTTCCTTGTAGTCGTGACTGCCTTCGTAAAGACAATGACCTTGCGCAGTTCTACTGGTGCGAATAAAAGAGCTTTGTGATTCGTGCGATAGTAGCGGCATTTACGCAGTGTTTGATAAAAGGAATGTTTCATTTTTGAAGATATTAAAGCGAGCATCAATTATGATGATGCAAGCTCCTTTATCCCTGTTGATATACTTTTTAAGTGGAAAAGACTGCCCTAGATATCCCAATTCTCTGTTAAGTAAATATGCTCCTCAATGCGCCATGGTTTGATTGCTATCGGGCCTTGCACATCATTGATTGAGAGCCAATTGACGGCCGGTATATCTTGAAATCGCGCTCACGAACGCCAGACATGAATGCCTCGAAAATTAGACGTTGACCTTGATGGCTGCATGGCTTATGAAATTGCAGATTTTAATGGCATTTTTATGATGTCACGAATGCAAATGTGACTTAGAAATACTCTCTTCAATATACCTTTCCCCATTTTCACGGGCATGTAGCTCAGAAACTAGGGGGAGGGGGGTGGGCTTAGGTCTTAAAAAGGCAAAATTATGTACAGCACCGAAAGGTCTTAAAAATGATTATTCCAGTTAAAAAGCGTATGAATGTGGAACATTCCCCTTTAAACAGAATGCATTAAGCTTTGGTAGCATTCATTACAGAAACATTTTGACTCATAGGTGTGCCGCAAACATTACACAAAGCACACGTTGAAAAACTAAGGCAAATGAAATACCTTACGTTCATGGTGGGCTGGGGAATTTTGCAAGGAAAAAGTAATTAGCAATTATAAGCTCTTCTGAAGGATTTCGAGCAACTGAGGCTATGAATCAAATCGTGCGCGTCTGATGCAACAATAAGGGAAGAGTACAAACAAGCGTGATATTCTCTTTAAGGAGCAAGGGTCCTCCCACTAACGGATCGGCGCGCCTTGAGTGGTGGGTTCCGGGCACACGCAACAAATATGGCTCAGCGCGTGATGTGAACCCAAAGCCACCCGAGGTGACAAGCGAAACACATTTTTACACCAAAGCTAGCACTAGTTGCCCGAAACTGCCGACGTGGGCTGGGGGAGGGGGGGGGGGGGCAAGGGCCATGATAATGCACCGATGCCGTGGCGCATCCAGCCGCTCGGGCTTTAGGGGAGGCGTGATGCCGTACAGCCTAACGCACTGACCAACCCACCTATATTTTCGATTTAACAGCTTACACGTGGCCCGTTTTAAACCCTTTGTGTGCGTATGAGCAGTGTTTAGCCTGGTTTGTCCCCTGAACGCTAATATTTTTAATGCATTTCAGCTTTTCGCCTCTAGCTGTTTTTTCAACTCATTTTGTGCCCTGTTATGCCCACCAGACAAAAACATCATCATCATCATGCAAACATGCAAAAACATGCAAACATGCATACATCGTCCTTTAAAATGACATTGGGAACTATGCTTGTTATTATCTTGCTATTAGTGTTACCTACTTTACTGTTTTGATGCACATATTTTATTTCCCTTTTTCTCGACGAACACAGCAGAGGCCGCTTGCCTATTAATCTCCAATGTAGCCAACCTGCACAGCGAAAAATGGCGAGGATCTCCTACCTACTCATTTTTAGAACAGTTGCATCCTGTGGCGAAAACTGGCGAGGGTCACCTACTTTTTCATCTTTGCTTTTACTTATGCTCAGTCTGTTGCATGTACATAAAGTCATGCCTATCTGTGTCTTGCTTCTTTCAAATAAACCCCCAAACCGGCCACCCTCTGTGTAAAGGGTACGTTGTTCATATGTATAATTGTGATGACAATTGGTGAAATATGTCATACATCCATATACTCCCATAAATATGTTCCAGATTGAGGCTCATAAAAGAATCAACATTATTGAGTGTTTCCCTGCTCGTTCTTTTTTGTCACCCAGTTCGACTTCCAGCAAACTAACGCATTCCTGGCAGTTTTCGTTTTTCCAGTAAGCAAAAGCCATGACTGCTTGCGTGTTCATTGATTGATATTGTTGATACTCTTGGCTCTGAATGTGTGGGTGGGGGATGAACAAAATGCCCTTCCCCTGCATTTGCTATTGCGCCGGTGCCATTCCCTAGCTTCACTAAGCTTCCAGCTGGGCTTCAGCTTGTAAAAGCGCGTTTATTTTGTGTTCCACAGAGTATACCAAGAGGCTTGCGTGTTACCAGCTGCGTCGGCCGGAGAGAGACCCCCTTTTCTGGAGGACTCATCTGGAGAAAACAGAGCTCGGCTCGTACTACTGCAAAGCTCTGTATGGCTTTGGCACGGCTCGGGAAGCCGTATATCTGTTGTGAGTACGGATATTGCTGTCGCGGTCCAAATGAATGTCGAATCCACCCGCCCGCGATGTGATAGCACCAGCTTAATTGGCTTTTACATGAAATGTGTCATGGCGCGGTGGCTGACATCATTGTTTTGCCGAGGTCTCCACAGAAAACTAAGTCTACGGAAGTGGCCGCAAGTACGTTGCCCACTAAGCCGTCCATTGGAAAGAAGCAGAGCTCAACAAGTTTTGGATACATTCAGATGATTGACATCTCTAGACCAAACACAGCTTTGTGTCCTACCGGACCGGCAACAGAGTCTGAACTAATGTAATTCTGAGACACTCATTCTCAGAGTTGCACCCTCGGGCTCGTCCGATAGCTCAGTTGGCTAGAGCGTATGGCTTCCGATCCACCCACCCGTGGTGCGGTGGGTTGGAGTCTTTTTACACTTCCTTTTTACCTTGACAGGTATGGGCATATGGCCGCTGGAAGCGGGCACGCTAAAAGGTTAGGTGATGTTAAAGACAAGGGTGGACCGTGCCGATCAATATGACACCTTAAACTATCACCACCAAATACTGCCGTAGACCTGGAATGCACGATCGGGTGATAGGGAGTCGAGGCCCACACTATAAACACTGGTTTACATGAGGTCTGGTCCTAAAAATTCATTCATGCGAAAGGTTCGAGTAAAATCTTTAAAAGATGCAGTAATTGAAAACAGTGGACATGAGCTCAGATGCACACTAACCAAAACGCGCGTGAACCAGAGTCGAGCGCTAACGCTTAGAAAATCTTGGGAACTGAGATGGAATTCAGCTTACAGAACCAGTCTCAACAGGACTCAGCCACATGTCGTGGGCATGTGCCTGACCCATCGAACAAGCAATATTTGCAACTCGAATACACATCAGATGTGTTATCTATGGTCTTTGATTTAGTGACATGCTTTTGATGACTAAACACAGAAAGGCAAGCAACACGATACACGAACAAAGAGAAAACATTTCGTTGATAGACTGAAACCACGTCTCTGACACTTGCACGACTATTGTGTAAAAAGACCTCAAGCATTCAACACAGAGTCGGAAAAGGATCATAGCCGATCACTCAGACCCAGTATGCCAACATCCAGCTTAGAACTCTGACGAAATCAATATGGAACTGGCCGGCTCAGACTTAGACTTAGATTACAACATTAGGCAGAGGTGGATCTTTTTCAGATTTTTTCTGGAACACGTGATTGTAGCTGAATTCATATCACACAACGCTGATAGTCCTAATGTCAGAGCCGTTTTCAGGTGTGTATGTGAGGCGCCTGGAAGGGAGGTAACCGTGCAAACACAGGGTAGTCTCGTGGCTGTTTGCAGAATGCAGCCGGCAAGCAGCTAAAATGAATAGTTCGGCTGTTGCTTTGCATTGCGATATATCACAACTTCGCTCAAACTCAGACCTACGTAAAGCGGAAAGCAAAAACTAGTTTAAGACCCTGACAACTCCCATCGTTTGCAGAGCCAATGAAGACAATGTGAAAAGCGGATTTTGCTTCTTTGCCGGCGGGATGTCGGACATGTTGCGCACCGTTAATCGACGATGGTGTCAGCTGTCTGCCGGAGGCGTCGTGGCGTTCAGAGCCTGGAAGAAGTGATCCGTTGGCAGTGTTATTAGCTGCTGGTGGGGGAGGTCATACCATTTAGACTCGGAGCATAAACGGCTTTTGTTGGCCTAGTGAAGTCAGTCGTCTGTAGTAGAGATTGTTTCATTCCAGACAAGCGCACCGACAGCGTTTATTGTGGGATGGCTTCTTCCATCTACCAACCTCAACGGTACCTGTAAAAAGGTGCCTTGACAGTTCAGAATGTTCCTTGGAGACAAATTTAAAGTGTATTTCCTTCTGGGGTGTACTTCCTGCCGCGTGATCGATAGCGTGATGATGGTGACTTTTTGTACGTTGTATTTTATTGATATGCACGATATGGCTGTATGATAATGATTTTAGCTAGCTGATCTTGCAGTGTCCGTTGATTTGACAGTTACAAACGGCGTTAATATAGATTCGATTGTGATTGTGATATAATGTTTCCCAGCATTTAATCATGGGACCTAAACATGTTGACCTGAACGGAATACAAATGCTATATCGATGCCTCATCTTGTCTGAGGAACGGCACGTTAGCAAAATGCTTAAGTGTTTACTTTGACTGGTCGCGCAATGCGCTAGAATTATGCTGTGGTTGGCACATACACAAACACTGAAAAACAGTACAGGAAACGTCTTTCAATCCTCAGGAATGTCGCGGATAGTGCGACATGCTTTCTGGTGTCCAACTGTTTTTTGCAACCAACTGTACAACCAACTGGCATTTACCTGTAAACGCGCCCGGTTGGCCGGCTAGGTATCCTTCGCTCGGGTGGGGGCGCGGTCAATTTGACCCCTTAAGATCTCGGGAACTAAGAAAGCTAGAAACACCAAATATACAGGGTGTGTTGACCTGTAGATGGACTTACTTGGGTCAAAGTTTGAGCTGCCTAGTTTATGATCTTCAGGTCAAATAGGGTCAAATAATTTCGAATTCCAGGCTGGTCTCCAAAGTGCCCCCAGAACCTAGAAAACTGTTTCTAAGCAAAAGGTCACAAGCTCATTTGAGGTCAGTGATCTTGTTTTACCTTTTCAAGGTCGTGGTGACAAAATCATACAATACTGCTCTGAGTTTGGCATTTGAATAAGCGACAAAATTACGCTAGGCAGTATGTTCCTAGAACGAAATGTTGACCTTGGTCATCTTAGGTCAACGACCTATTCTGACCTCGTGCAAGTCAAGGAAGATGTATAATGAGGTTCTTGCTATCAGTAAATTCGAAATGAGCACCAGCAACTATTCCATACAGCAGGCCCCAGAGTAAAAAACGGATTGTTTTTCACCTTGGTCTGACCTTCATACCTGAACTTAGGTCAATGTGATTTGCTCATTCAGCCATTGTGCTGCTTAAGAAAGCATCTCAGAGATGTATGGCTTCGTCAAACACCCTGTTTTGCTTCAGATTAAACGATTCTCTAGAAATTGCCTTTGCTGGACCCATGGTCTGACTTTGACCAGCCATAGGTAAGCGACCTTGCCATGTACATGCAATTTTTCATATTAAGCGATCTGATATTTAATTGTCTACAGCCATGCAAAATTTGGCGCGTTTAAGCCGCACCGTTCGGAAACCGTTTTGGAAAAAACCCTCGGGAATCAATTTCATCCCCCGCTCGAGTGCATGTTATTACTGATACTGATTCTGTCATACGCCTTGAACTATGTAGGTGGCTACGGAAACACTTCCAGGTCCGAAAATTGTTCTTCATGGCGAGCAGGGTTTGCCACGCACTCGGGGGGGGGGGGGGGGTCAGTGTGTCCGAATGTTCTTCCAGAAGGATTTCCGAATGACGCAGCGTGGCAACATCAAACTTTGCATAGCTGTTGGCAACTGACCCGCAAAGGTTTTGGTATAAAAATATATGTATCTTGTCATGTCACTGACCTATGGCAGATTAGTCAGGCGGTGGTCGTCAGAGAAGGCAATTTCTAAAGAATCGTTCAATGTAACGCGATAACGAAATCACCTAGGGCCCAATATGGTCAAACCGAAGTCAAAAGCCAGGTGTATTTTTCAGGGGCGCACTTTTTATGGGGTGGATTTCTGGTTATTATTCTTAATTGATGGATAACAGGGAACACAACAGATATATTTCATGGATTTCTTACGGCTTAGAGTAGGTTGCTGACCTAAAATGATCCAGCTGAACATTTTGTTGTTGGTGACATACCGCCTAGCGTAATTCATGAAACTTTTTCGTATGGTATGACAAAAGCAATTTAGTGGGTTTTGACAACCACGACCATCTAAAGTTCAGAAAAGGCCGCTGACCCTGAAAGAAAACCGGTGACCTTTTGTAATGAACAAGTATCTTGGTTCAAGGCGGTTGGATGAGGAGGTCTGAGGGCACTGAGGAACAACGATCTGGAGTTTGACGTTGTTGTACCCTCTTTTACCCAAAGGTTATGGACCTACGAACCCCAAATTGTGACATAAGCGGGTTTTCGTACAAGCCATCATACCCTGTTAATTTGGTGTCTCCAAATTTCATCGATGTCGACATCTAAGGAGGGCCAAATTGTACCCCTCCCCTCCCCTACAACCGAGTTAAGATTACTCAACCAGACACCCGGGTACGTGTTAAACATGACGCGCAACCCAGTTTGGGCCTCTGCCCCGGAGAACATAATGGTTTAAGAGCCAGGCCCACAGCGCACATTTAACATCATTCGAAGGTGGAACGCAAAATCCGTCATAAAAGCAAGAGCGGCATGCATCTCATGGTATTATCTCGATTCTCCTATTGTGTTTTGTACGTCACATGCTAAAATGTTTTTTGTGCGACAGGTGGACACTTTTAAAAAGGAAGTCATTTTCATTGGGTAGTCAGAGAAAGCAAGTTTTCAAACCTGCAGCTTTCCTTCTGCGCGAGGCTCGTAATGACGAAAATATATATTTGTGCCTTGAATGATTGGGGTAGCCAAGCAAAAGCATGACGCCAGGTCAACTGACACTGCTGTAATGCGGTTTCTCCCTAAAAAGAATACTACAATACCTTAGAAAAAATACCAGAGAGGAGTTCAAAATAGCACAATACCAGCGATGAAAAGCCTACAACTTGATAGTCACGGTTGAAGTTGCAGACCGGGCTAATCCTACTTACATGTTGACAACTTAAACGTGCGCCCAAGTGGCAGGTTGAATGCGACGCGCACGGACGTGGAGTGGGCAGGCGTAGGAAATCAATTTGACCGCTACAATCTAAAAAAGTAAGAGAACTAGATACAACAAATACACAAACGGTGTAGAGCTGCATGATAATCCACTTGTGTTCTATTTTGTGGTGTTTGTATAAGGTCAGCGACGTTATTTGACCTTTGGAAGGAAGAAATGTCAAACAATTTTCTGGATTATTTTGATAACTGTGTTTGCAATCTGCGTTAAGTACTAACGCAGGAGACATGCTCCTCAACACAAAATTCTGATCGCGGTCGTTTATGCCAGTGGCCCCCATGATTTTTATGCAGCCAACTTAAGGCATCTGTTGACGTTGTTCTAGCACATGAATTCGAAAACTGCCATCCAAGCGTCACGTTCAGAACGACCACCTTCAGCAAATTTACCAACAATACAGCAGTTTGGTGTTGACCTTGATCTGACCTTCATATCTGACCACAGGTCACCGTTATAAGTGTGATGCAATTTTCGGGGTTATGCTGTCAAAGAAGTTACACCGAAGTCGTATGACTTCTCTTTTAAGGCTCTAAGACACTACGCTGTCGCATCCTATTCGACGATTCTCCCGGAGTTGCGTTCGCTGTCAGCCATGGCCTGGATTTGACCAGGTATTGGTGTTTGAAACCCGCTTGTTATATATATTTTCCTATCTTTAGACACCGTAGCGCTAGAAGGCGTTTTCAGTAGTTCCAACCATCTGACGGTTATGAGGTACTTGTTTGGCAACCATGCACTGCCTACGAGTAAATTCCTTTAGATTTCTCACAGCATATATCACTGGTTCTCAATACACTTTCGAGGCATTTGACTGCATTATACGTCCTTCAGTTCCTTGCAACCCCTGCCTTCCAATTCACCCACCAGTCACGTAGTGGATTCGAGTCGCCTCAGCCTCTCGCTATGTGCCCCTGATTAGAATTGTCCGTGGCCGGTAGCAATGGCCGCGCATAAGGTCAGGTGACGTCAGAGGCAGGACGGGCCGTGCCGAGCACCGTGAGCTGTTGAACGGAGATAGCCGTTCTCAAGATCACTCGCTACAGCGCTATATGCCATTTACATTGCATTGGTTAACTTTTGGGCTTTTGAGGAATGTCAACAACTTAGGTGATTACATCCGTTGGTGATGACATCTGCGTTGCGACGGATCCAAACACAGCCGCCATTTTGAAAATAGCCCCGAGCGGTAAGCATTGAAGACGCAGCGTGTTGGGGTATCTGCACGGTTGAGAGTGCTTCGTAAATATGACAGCGTGGGAGGCATACTGTTGTGTACTATGACACAAAATTAGCAAGGTCACAGAATATGACCAAATATGATGGTGGATCGTGTTTTCGGGGTTAAATAAGGCGGAAAAATTGCATTAAATGGGGAGGCCTACAATGCTATTTGGCACAGAATTCTGTCCGCTCCAAGCATCTTGTTAGCATACCTGCCATCATTTGCCGACTGGTATGCCGACATGTCAGTTAGCAGGCGCGTCGCTTTCTAAATTGATTGGGAAGGCTGTTCCAATAAAGCTGACCTGACCTCTTCCCAAATCCTAATTAATCCTTGGATTTTAGCCATCTTGATCTATGTCCCTGATGACAAGATTAAGAAAAAATTGGTCAGTTGCAAATTGTTGTAATGAGGAGTGGCAAACGATTAAAAGCTGATGTGATTGTGGGGATTAAATTGATGCTGCTGTGTTAAGATACCTAATGCTCGAATACCAGCAGCACAGAAATCTGCTGCACTTCATTGGACGACTGTTCTTTTGCTGCTCGTATGCTTTGCTGGTTCAGAAAAAACATTGAAAGATTCATGTCAGTATAGCGGGGGTGGGGGGTGAGGGTGGGGATGGGGGGTGGGGGAATTGAACTGATGTTATTTGACGCTGGTTTAGCCAACCGGACCGACAGGAGGATGTGGTATTATGCATGAACAAATTATTAAATCAAGTGCATTGGGGAATTCTATCAACTCATTTACCCATTGTAAGACTTGTGCTATGACACTGTGAGGTTATGCGTACTCGACTGTATCATGAAATAAAACAACCAATTTAAACATCCACCTGACAACAGTCTGCGTTGGAGTTTAAATATTCTGTTTTATATTCATTTCACTGCACCAGTTTAGCAAGTTCTCGATCAGCCTCAACTGATCAGCGTCAGATGAACAGCCTGGTAGCGCGCCAGTTCTATAGCGCAGCAAACATGCATAGGTGTTCAAATTCAAGCTATACACTAGTTGCTGGCACTATCAACACACTGTTAAGCTTTGAAATATTCTCGGCGTGAAATGCCATCAAAATTATCAGGGTAAGCATTGTTACCGTTGA